CGCCGAAGGGGGGCAAGAGTAGGACTCAAGGGGGAAAGGGGAGAAGGGGTATGGGAAGAGCTCCCTTCCGACTCGTGCGAAAGTTCATAGCACTCAGGTCCAGAATTTGAGAAAGACATTGTTTAAAGTTACCTAAGTAATGTGGACAAAGAAAGAGTGAGAGTAAAGTGTTGAAGGTTGGAGAGTCTGGAAGTTGAGTTCAATCGAAGGCAAAGGCGCTTAGAGGCAAACGACAAGAATGCTGCCGCTAAGGGCCTTATTTAAAGAGGAACGAACAGCCCAGATTTCCCAAGATCCAACGACTAAGAAGCCACCGCCTCCACTACCCGATCATGGCGCGCCGCGTGACGCTCAACCTCAGAAGGCGAAACGACGCGCTAGCGATGGCTCGGGTCGTCCCTGATCCAACAGACGCCAAATGCCTCTGCACCTGCGATCCAGCTACGCCGCATCCCTAAACGCTCACCCTTGGAAGGCGAAACAACGCTCAACCTCGGAAGGCGAAACGACGCTCCGAGTGAACCGACATGTCCGCCCACTGTGGACCACCGGTTTATGCGACCCGGTCGCACGAATGAGCGCACCGGTCAGACCAGAAAGTCATCCCGTGCACGGGTCCTCGGTCTTCACAGGTCTTGGGCCTAAACAGCCTTCGGCTCCACGGGTCTTCGGCTTAACCAACCTCCGGCCCCCTATGCTCTCAGCCCAAATGACGGCACCAAAACATCCACACTGAGTGTGCCTCCAGAATCACTTGTCCGATGCAGCAATGTCGTAAACCACTCGCAACCTCGGCCCAACTCATAAAAGACGAACCTAGCAAAGACACAAAAGAGGATGCCGCCACATGATACACCTCGGCTGCCGGGCCCACTAGCGCTCACCATTATTACTCCCATTAGCCGAAGCCGAATTTTCCTCTTCGGCCTCGGGAGTGGGGGGCAAGTGATGTGGGGTGACCCAACCCAGCCCATTTGAGGCTAGGAGGCCTAGCCCACGAGCACCAGATCAAGGAATGAGATCCACTACAGCAAGGGTTACCCTGCCCCCATCGTATAGAGCCAACCGCGATGCACTCACATGACCCTGCCAAACCCGCTGCAGGCCCTCGTACGGCTCCCATCCTAGGCGTTCATCTCCACCTAACTCCAAGCAGCTCAAGTATAAATAGGGGTACCCCCTCCAGGTAAAGGGGTTACAAAAACTCAAGACCTACAGCTATTGTCATAATAGCTATTGCAATAACTGCTACTGTGACTTTATTATAGAACTACCTACCAGGATCTTGTCCTAGTACTCTCCCTTCGTATCCTGTACTAACTTGACCGTCGGAGACTCTGCCTCGGGTTCACCCGGGGCCTCTAACGAATTTCCGCCTTGCAACACTTCGGCCATCTACCCTCGGCTTCTACTGTACTCAGGATCCACCCCGCCTCGACCTAACCACCTCGGCCTCACCAGCAACCTCTCCGAGTCCTCAAAGCCTTCGGCCGGCCTTTAGAGCCCAGGGGCGAAATTACTTTGTTGTCCTCGGCCATTCCGAGCACCAACACCACCCATAGAGGGTAAGTGGTAAGGCCCAACACATCGGAGTGCACAATATGGAATGGAGAAGATATTTTATTACTCAAAGGGTAACTGTTTCTACAATGTTTTGACAACTCACAAAACTCACAATGAAGACTTGACAAACTAATTCCCTTAAATAGTTCTGGGAATAAATGACTCGATGAAGTAAAAGAAAGATGACCCAAATGAAAATGACATAACATGACACGACTGACAGACTCTGAAGATGTAGATCCAAAGGCAGCTTTCCCAGGTTGTCCATGGCCCTGTCCAAGAGTGTCCAGCAGATATATTCCATTCGCCTCATGGCCACTCGGCCACTCCCAATCACTTTCTAAGACTCCAGATCCTGAAAAACACAGTAGGAAGGAAAAAAGGTACACAACTGTTCAAAGACTTAGTTAGGCTGCCTATAGATAACAAATTAGTATTAGTTTGGGTACATGAAGAGCAGAAGGAAGTACTAAAAAGTCTGTAGCCTTGATGGTTCCCTTGCCAGAAATAGGAGCAAGAGATTCATTGGCTAGGGTGATTTTGTCACGGCCAGGAAGCAAATCATAAGAAACAAATAAGGTAGAAAGGCTGGTCATATGATCCGAAGCACCAGAATCAATAATCCAAGGGACCTTACGATTACCTGAGATAGTTGCATAGTTGGCAAAAGCCCATATACCTGAATGAGCAAATGCAGAAGTTGAATTTCCTAGAGGGTTGGAAGAAGAGGCCACACCCTCTAGGTGATTGACCATCCTTCCAAACTTCTCATACTCTGCCTTCATAGCTACTAATTGCTCACTAGCAGTCTTTTCTTCAGTTAGACATCTGTCACTGTCTGGACCAACAGCAATATTGGCACTCCCTACCTTCATATTATTAGATTTCTTTTAAAACCGAAGGGGAAGAATCTCCAGATGCAATTTCCAACACTTGTCTTTTGTGTGTTTTGGTTTCTTACAGTACTCACAAATAATTTCTTTCCCTGAGCCAACTGGATTTCCTATAATTCCCTTAGGTTTCACCCCCATATTAGCAAAGGGATCATTTAGACCAGCCCCTTGAACTTGGACGAGTCTCCTGCTTTCTTCACTACTTACCAAGGCATAGGCTTAAGACAATGAAACACTATCCTTGGATAAGATATTCTGCTTTGTGATGTCATATCCGGGATTCAGCCCTACCGAAAACTCAAACACCCTATTTCTCTCAACAAGTTTCCTATAGGTCTCAGCATTATTAATGCTTTCCCAAGCTATAGTTTCCATCAAATCAATTTCTTGCCATAGAGATTTCAGTATTGAGAAATAAACAGCCAAAGGTTTCTCCCCCTATCTTAAATTTTTCACATCACTCCTCATCTTGTATGGTCTAGCCACATTTAATTTCTAGGAATAGGTTTCAGCAACACTGTCCCATATTTCCTATGCTGAATTCATCCACAAATAGTGTTGACTAATTTGAGGTTGCATTGAGTTCACTAACCATCCGATTACAATATAATTTTCTTGCATCCATTTTTCATAGGATGGATCATCTTCCGAGGGAGCCTTCTTGGCTCCCGGAGATATAACCCCATTTGCCTCTACTACAGAATATGAATTTTTACTGATTGTGACCATGCTAGATAATTAGTTCCATCTAGCTTGACTGTGGTCACAGCCAGTAGAGAGTCAACAAAGGCTCTCAGAACCTGTTCGGATTCAACAACATGCTTGTTTTCAACTTCTGAAGGGTCCATCTTCTTAAAACACTTCAAAAATAACCTCTAATAACTTCAAATAACAATCAATGAAGGCAGAAAAAAATACAGTGCTATGAATCAACCTCTATGAAGTCGTACCCGTCAACTGCGTCACACCCGGAACCCAAGAGAAACAGAGAAAACTTAGCCGCACCTTGTAGACTTCACAGAATACCAAGCAACCTGAATCAATCTTCAAGATGAAGAACAAGAAATCTTTCAGCCACTGAGCGCCCAGGTCAAACTCCCTGTGGGGCCCACAATCAGATTTCTCCGGTTAATTAGGGTTTCGAGCAACACACTTGAAACTGTCAAGAGGACGACAAAGATAGTCTCCTTCTCTCCAGAAACCACTAACAACTGGGATGAAAAAAGTTTCTTTAACTATTCATCCGATTCAGTTCTCCATACACACTGTGTATGGGAAAAAAAGAGGAGAAAAAGAGAAGAAGAGACCGCTCTGATACCAAGAAGAAAAACAGCCTTTTGAAATGAAAGGACTGTTCAAAATGTTGCAGAAAATTGATTAAGAATAGCAAAAATCAGGTTTCAAGAAGAGAGAAGAGGAAGAAGGTGGCGGCAATAAGGGTTCTGAGAGAGATTTCGAACATAATCTCCTCTTACACCCCTAATCCCATTTCATTAACTTAATTTTTATAATTTACAGAAAAGCCCTTAGTTGGAAAGATAATTAAAAAACATAACATAAGAGAAAAGGCCCAAGTTGAGGCCCATTACAGCAAAGAACATAAAGAAATAAAATAAGACAAACAGTCTATGGGCAATTCGGCCCATCTTCTCTACAATTACCTTTTAACAATTTGCCATATAGAAATCATAGATCAGCCAATACATGAAAATGGACAATAATCAAAAGGGAAATATTTTTTCCTTGGAAGGGATTTACATTTTTTTCTGATAGGTAAGGAGTCTACATTTGTTTATTCTCTAGGTTATTCTAGACTCTAGAGTGGAAATTGAGGGGCATTCTCAGGGTTAGGTGGATGAGAGGTGGACAGGTCCCCTGGGTTATGGTGTTCTGACATTGATTACAAGAGGGTAGATCTTTGGCAACTTGGGGAAAGATCTTCTTCTGACATTGGATAAGGAGTCTGACAATAACCCAGATGACAAAGTTAGGTAGGAAAAAGTGAGTTGTACTGGGGTCAGCCCTACCTGACTGCATTTCTTCCCATGGGGTGTGTAGTGATAATCCGTCGTGGTAGTTTTGCGACTATCTTCCAGTTTTATTCTTCTTTTTTTTTATATGCTTAAACTCTTTCTTATTGATTTATTAGTAAAACGTCATTGATCTTGTTACTAAGTATTTAAAAAGAAGGTGACAATTACCAAATTGTAATTACTAAAAAAGCCTCACACAGCAGCAAATATACACATGATTCAAGCAGATCGAGGCGTTCATAAATCAATATATTATCAGGCCTTAGACTTTCAGAAAACAAATAATCAGATCAAGGCGTTCATAAAACAATATAGTTACATGCATCTATAATGGAGTTCCTGGGTTGAATGGAAACATCAGCTAACAATTAGAACAAACTATGAAAATGATGACATCTATAAATCTGTGGAAACACCTATCTTTTTTTTCTCTAGATTAATTCTTCTTGAACAATAATGTCAGGACCATACAACTAAGAAAAATCAGCTAAGAAAATATAAGAAATCTCACAGTTTCTTTTGCTGCAGACATTGCAAGAAAACCAGCACCCATTTCCACTTCTTGCAATCCAACAACGACAATGCCAACATTTGATGCTGCAGAACCCAGCCAAGAGATAAGTGAGTCATGAGAAGCTCTTCCTTGTCCAACATTCCAAGTGCCTGTCAATATTTTCAGATTTTCTAGCTTCATATATAGATGTTCTTTTCTGGTCATTTCTGATCGCAATATGTTATCAAGAGGGCCTGGAGACATAATGCTCCATCCACGAATTCCACCATGGTTAGCTAATGTGAACACATAACCCACTCCAACATCCATTTTTATAATAGGACTATTGTGTGCAATCCATCCTCCAAGCAGGTTGCCCTCAAGATCTAGTACCTGCACAGTACCATTTATATAGCCTACCCATAATCGTGTCCCAAAAGTACAAAAGCATTGGACAGCAAAAGGATGGTGGTGAAAGTCTTTTAACCTATTCCCATTTCCATCCCACTGCACAAGTAACCCATTTGTACATCCTGTCCAAATCATTCCGTCTATTGTTAGGACTATCGCTTCAGTTCTCCTATTATCATCTCCAAATGCCCCCTTAGCTGCTACTCTACGGACAGCATCAGCTGCTCCCATCAGAGCATTTCGTGAGCGCTGCAAGAAGCTAATGGAACCTTGTGGCTTCTCCTTCTTTAATAGAGAAGTAAACTTAGCCTTTATATCATCCTCTACAGAAGAATCCTGAACTGGTGGAATATCAAAACGATTTTCAATTTGACCATCTACATTAAATACTTTCATAAGTTCCCTTGTACGTGCATCCCTGCAGAGTAAACACCAGATCTGGATTGACTTAGGATGATAAAGATTTAAGTGTGAAACCATAACTTATAGAGAGTTATTCGGATAAGACAAATATATGTATACATACTGAAGAAATGGTGAATACCATTTGGTTTTCCAAGATTATGATGTTAAAATTTCTACTTCCAATGGCCACAACAAAATGATCTGAAGTTTCTAATACATATTCTTCTATTATGTATTAGAACATCCTCCTGACAACATTCTAAAAATCCATAAAGATAACTAAGTTAAATTTGTAAAGAATGTTCCCAGCCAAGAGTCTTAAGCACTAAACTTTAGCCTGATCAATAATAGATAACAGTCAATATTAGAAAAGAAATTATTTTTAGTAAGTACATACCACAATGCAAACGACTGGTAGCCAGCACTCCACACTTTTCCTCTTGAATTATCAGATAAAAGATACTTCACATCTGTAGCAGGTATGGAGCACACACCATTAACAGTAACTTGGGTTCTGAGGTCTATATATGACCTCTCCACTAAAAAAGCAGCCATATGTCTTTCCTCTGCTGTTAGTGAAAAAGCTTTTTCTATTGATTCCCAAGTCCATATTTTAACAGAACCTCCCTCAGAACCTGACCATAGATCACCTGATTTTGGAGTAATCCAATGTCAAAATCTTGAGGGTAAATGAATGACTACGCATTTAAGTGCTTTCACTTTTAGAAATTCAAGTCCACTTTACTATCATGATAATGTAAAATATTCAAGCAACAAATCCTGGCACAATAGTATAATAAAGTGAAAATAGTTCTATTTCACTGCTATATATTTGACAACTGCAAGATTAGGTAGCACAAAGAATGATAAAATAGGGCCTAGAACACTGTTCAAAAATATCATCACTTTGTGCCATGATTGTGGATAATTCAAAGAACACAGCAAATTGTAAACGAGAAACCAGTGCAGGTGAAATGAATAGATACCCAAAAAATTGGTGCAGATTGAAAGAAGTGCTTTGTAGATTGCAATACACCTAGATATCTTCCTGATCCTACTTGTCATATATTTCAGAGGTTTACTGTAGCAAAATATTCATCTAATGGTCTCAATAACATCCCCTCACCTATCCCCAAATAATGAATAGTCATCATCATCAACATATCCAAGCCTTCCCTATTACATGGGGTTGGCCAGAAGAATCCTGTTTCATCATTCCATTCTATTTCAAGCTATATCCAAATAATGAATAGTCAAAATGGTTATATTTGCTAAAATGGGAAAAAAGTCGTAACATAAATGGGAAAAGGTTCACTAGTCAGATCAAGTGGGGAGCACCTCTATACTTGTCATTTTTCTGCCAATGTGGAGGTATGACCTGGCTAATATAAACCATCCAACAAGTAGGGAACCCTCTGGATTGACCACCTATTCAATCCTACAGTGCATGTTTTCCCTGTAGTTCACCTTTTTTATTGTTTTTCACTACTAATATTGACCATTGAAAGTTTCAATTTCAATAAAGAGAATCATGTGGGGCCATTGGAATCCTCAATTATTAATTAGTTCTCTGATTTGCAAGAAAATAGAGATAGATAGATGCCTCTCAATTATATCCTCCACAGGGACTATCAGTACTTGGTTGAAATTTGAATTTGAACCCTCAATCATTAATTAGTTCCCTGATTAGAAATAAAATAAGAAATGTTATTTCCTCCTTCTTAGGTAAGAGGATTTCTTAATCTCATATTCATGCAAAGACATGCCCATAAGATACTTGATATCCAAAATTTGAAAAGCTTATTTCATTTGAGAATATGCATAAAGGAGTCCAATAGGCCACTAGTGGCAGAACCTCCAAACCTTAAATCCTCGATAAGCAACCTAAATTACTCGTTTAGCATTTGAACACCACATATAGCTCAGTTTAAAAATGGCAAAAGACATTTTAGGAGAAACTAAACGAAACGGCAAAGTGATTTTAAAAAAAAAAATGGTGGTGGAATGAAGATGTTCAAAATATAATCAAAGCTAAACAAGCATGCTATAAAAATTGGCAAAAGACTAGAAATGTAAAAAACTTGGAAAAATATAAAACCATAAGAAAGGAAGTTTAAAAAAAAAAAAAAAAAGAAAAAGTGAGGGAAGCAAAATTTAAGGCATATGATTAACTATATCATACATTAGGCACTAAAGAGGGAGAGAATAGAATTGATAAACTAACAAAGAGAGTTAAATCAAGTTAGAAGCACTAAGAGGAAGATCAAAGGCTCTTGAAATTTCTGTTGAGGATTGAACTTTAAATGGGTGAGAAGGGATGCCAATGCTTTTACTGGCACACTTGCCAAACAAGGGGTGGGGAAGGAACAGCTTGTTTTGGGCTATGTTGTAATTGAAATTTCTGTTGAGGGCAAAGAGAGTTTATACCTCCTCTTTTTATCCATTTGTACTTTTTTCTAATTTGTGAATTTGATTCTGTTATTGATAAAAAAAATGCCAAACTCACCCAACCCCTAAACACCAACTTAAGCCATTGACACAGAGAGACCACACCAACCACCAATTGGATTTTGCAAAATTACCAGTGTTTTAAAAGCACAAGGTGCAAGGCGAGGCGTGCGCCTTTTTAAGCAAGGCACAAAATTACAAAAAATAAAAAAAAAAATCAAAAGAAAATGCCAAAAATTTTCAAAAAAAATGCAAAAAAAATATCAAAAAAATATTAAACATAATGTTAATAAAAAAATATAAACTTAAATTTTAAAATAAATGTTTTAAAAAACCTATTATCTAAAATTAAAATACATAAACATAACATGTAAAGTGTATTCAAATGAAAATTTAAAAATAAAAGCAAACATATAAAGCATTTTCAAGCATGTAAAACCCACAATATCTTTTTCTCCTTAATTGCATTGCTTCAAGTAGCTAATGTGATGTAAAACATATTGCATTCTTGATTCTATGAGTCACCTTTGTACCACGCCCCTCGAGGCAAGTGCGAACAAGTCTGAAATTCTTATTTCTCACATAAAAAATAATGATTTTATAACTTCCATTGCCTTTTAAGAAGATATTTTATTGCAATGAATGAATGAACAACATTAGCAAATAGGGGGTTCTCTGAGCCCCCGGCCCAGCTGTTATACTCAAAAAAAAGCAAAATGCGCAAAATTTTAAAAAGGCACATGTTTGGGCTGAGGCACAAGGCACATCAGGCGCACACCTAGGCGCACCAGGCATGTACCTTCTGAAAGGGGTGTGCCAAGGACCTGGGCGAGGCACATACCCCAAAATGCGCCTCACCTGTGCGCCTAGGCGTGCCTTTTAAATCACTGAAAATTACTTCACTGCTTCAGAGACTTGGCCAATATCCTCTTTACTTCTATTATCTAGAAGAGTAGGAGAAGAGAAGAGAGATCTGAGAGACAAAACTCATAGCTGGTGGTGCCAGCTTTTGGTATTTATATTAGGGCGATCATAACATAACATAAAGAGAGAGGGAATTACAACAATACCCCTACGGTTGGTACTAAACAAAAACAAAAGCATAAAATAAACAGCCTTTTAACACTCCCCGTCAAGTTGGGACATAGATGTCAATCATGCCCAACTTGTCACATAGATCATTATGCCACAAGTGATGTAACCCTTTTGTGAAGATGTCCGCAAGTTGGTCTTCAAACCTGACATAGGGGCTGCACACTTCCCCTTTGACAACCTTTTCTCTGATAAAATGCTTGTCTACCTCAACGTGCTTGGTTCTACCATGCAGCACTAGGTTAGCAGCAATGTTTATGGCTGCCTTGTTATCACAATATAAAGTCATAGGTCCATCAACTGTAGATCCCAAGCTCACTCAACAAATTTTTTAGCAACATTATTTCAGCCACTCCATGAGACATTGCTCTATATTCAGCCTCGACACTAGACCTAGCCACCACATTCTACTTTTTGCTTCTCCATGTGACTAGGTTTTCTCCCACAAAGGTACAGTAGCCACTAGTAAACTTCCTATCATTCAATAATCCTACCCAATCTGTATCAGTATACACTTCAACCTTCAAATGCCTGTGTTTTTGGAACAATAAACCTACACCTGGGAATTTCTTAAGATATCTGAGAATTCTTTCAGCTGCTTCAAGGTGGGTCGTCTTAAGGGCATGCATGAATTGACTAAGAACACCCACTGCATAAGAAATGTCTAGCCGAGTCATGGAAAGATAATAGCAATCTTCCCACAAGCCTCTGAAATTGCTTCACATCCTTGATGAATTCACCTTGACAATCACTTAATTTGTGATTAGGATCAATAGGAGAATCAGCAGGTTTCACTCCCAATTTTCTTGTATCCTATAATAGATCTAAGACATACTTTCTCTAGGAAATAAAGATACCTTTTTGTGAGCGGGCAACTTCAATTCCAAGGAAGTACCTCAAAGGACCTAGATCTTTCACCACAAACTGAGTAGCAAAAAATCTCTTCAACTTTTGAATTCCATTTTTCCAATCACCAATGATAACTATATCATCAACATACACTATCAGGGCTGCATTTTTTCCTTCCCCTCTTTTCATAGACAATGCATGATCAAATTGACATTGCTTGTAGCCTCTTTGTTGTACAGTTACCTGCAATTTATTGAACCAAGCTCTTGGTGATTGTTTTAGGCCATATAATGACTTCTTCAACCTACACAGTTTTTGTTCATTACCTTGAGCCCAGAAACCAAGGGGTTGTACCATGTACACTTCTTCAAGATCACCATTTAGGAATGCATTCTTGAAATCTAGTTGGTGAAGGTCCCAATCAAGGTTAGCAACTAAAGGGAAAAGAACCCTAATAGAGTTCAACTTAGCAACCAGTGCAAAAGTTTCTGCATAATCCACTCCATACACTAGAGTAAACCCTTTTACCACTAAACGAGCTTTATACCGCTCCACTGTGCCATCAACCCTATGTTTTACTAGAAAAACCCATTTACATCCAACTGGTTCCTTCCCCTCAAGAAAATCCACCAATTCTCGTGTACCATTTTTATGCAATGCATTTTCTTCCTTCATTGCATCTGTCCATTTAGGCACCAAGGGAGCTTTTGCCACATTCTTAGGAATAGGGTCACAGTTAGTGCAAGAAAGGAAGGTGAAATTTTTCATAGGAAACGAAATGGGAGATGGGATGCTCAGTGATGGAAGACCTAACACCCTTTCGGTGAGCAATAGGAAAGTCAAGATCATCAGCAATGGAGGTATCAATAGCCATAGGGTCAAAAATATCAATGGGAATCAAGGTACCTAGCTAAGTAGGATCGACCCCCAGAGAATTTGATGGCATTGGTGGTACAACTTCTAGATGCTCCACAGCTCTTGAGTTGTGGGGTACCCAAGAAGATGCAAGGAATAACACGATGATCCTATTTTCCATGGGTTGGTGATAAGTTTTGAACAAAACAATAACAACTAAACACATGGAGGTGAATAAAGAAAAGGGGAGCCTTGGGAAATAGGAGTTGATGTGGAGCTTTGCACTTTAACCATCGAGAGGGCATGTGATTAATGAGATAAGAAACACAAAGGATAGCCTCAAGCCAAAAACGTTTTGGGACATTCATACGAATCAATAACCCCCGAGCCACTTCAAGAAGGTGGT